TTTTTTTGGGAATGGTACAAAAGTCGAAGTCAATATTTTGTTTATTAAATACATGGAAGAAATATTAACTTACTTCTAATAGAATATTATAAATCAATGAATATAAATTAATCGTTGATTTGTCTTTTTTTTTATCGATAATATGTACATTAAGAGAAAAAAAAAGAAATGTAAAAATGTCCATATATTTCATTTAAAGTGTTGTATGTCAAATTAGAATCCAAACAAACAGACACTAGTTAAACAAGAGAAGGGATATAAGAATAACAATATTTATATAGATGTATCTTTATATTTTACTCGTGTAAATCTACTGTCCCTGTGTATATTTTGAATTTTACTTGCAATCGTTGTATGTATTGTAGGTATATAGTTTTGTTGTTTTCGTGGCGTAGTATATTATAACATATGAGTAACCATCTTAATTCTATAAATGCTTTATCATATATAATTAAATATTATTAGAAGCAAATTATGTCTTTTAATTCATTTCTCCTCTCATAAATAAAATACATTTGTTCTTAGTGAAAATCTGTTAGAATAATATCTATTGAATATGAAGTGTGATTATGAAGGACAAACGGACTCAAACTCATGCTCACATCTACACGTGGCATTATTTCGATACTCATTCTTCCTACCTATGTTGGAAAAAACCTTGGCAACAATGCAAACAATATTGTTTCATTTTATTATATTTTTATTTTGCTTCTTCTCTGATTTGTTGAGATGATGATGCAAACTTCAAAAGAAAACATGATGACTTGAGCATAACAACTAAATCAACAACTAAATGAACTTCTGTTGTATTTTCAAAAAAAGATATTTTAGTCATGGAAAATAATTATGTTTTCAACATTTTTACTCTAACTACACAAATGAATTCTTTTTTTTTTCGTTCTTTTTTTCTTTTTTCGATGAGACACTTATTTTATTGATTTAAGATGTCTTGCACATAGAAACGTAGACAAAATAAGAGAATTTTCTAATGATTCCAGACAGGAGTAAAGAAAAAGAAAAACAATGAAAACAAAAAATATAGAGACTTATTTTGAAATTCTATTCGTAACTTTTTGTTTTTTCATTCCTACAAATTATGCGCAATTGATCGATAATACAATTATTCAGTTATTGGTGACACATATTTCGTCACTGTCGTTTTGTCAATAAAAAAAACTCTTGAAATAAAAAGAAAACGAACGAACAAACAAAAAATTGGGCAAAGAAATCCTTCAAGTCTTCTATAGCAACAAAAATAACAAACCAAAAAATAAAAAGTGTCAACACGAAAAAAGAAAAAAAAACCTATTGAAAAAAATCATTTACAAAAAACACAACGTCATTATTATCATCAAAATCATCCAAATGGATAAAAAGCAACATTCAAAATCAACTGCCAGCGGATCATCTTCTCCTTCCACAATAAATAAACCAAAAAAATCATCATCAACAACAGCAGCAGCATCACTACCAACAGCAACGACAAGCAGAAATGCGGTACTTCCTCAAACTGCTCGTCGGATTCTTCAAAATTTCCTTTTGGTATGGCTCGATGCCAATTTGCAAGAATCAGATAACGATTTTACGAATTCATTGCAACATCTGCGAAAAATTGTGGCATCTATCACAACGTTTACGGATGCCCAACAATGTGTTAATTTCCTAAGTGAAATCAAAAAAGAAAAGGTATTTATGATCGTATCAGGTTCCTTGGGTCGTCAAATAGTACCAGAAATCGAAGCATTGCCACAACTGGAAGCAATTTATGTGTTTTGTGGCAACCAATCGGTTCATGAACAATGGGCTAAAAAAATAAGCAAGGTTAAGGGTGTATACACAAAAATAGAACCAATTTGTCAAGCACTTGAAATCGATCGACAACGATGTGATCAAGCTATGATCCCCATCAGCTTTAATGGTCGTGATGCCTTATTTATGTATACACAACTTTTAAAAGAAGCCCTTTTGGAAATTGAAGATGACGATGTCAAATCGATTAAAGATCTCGTAGAGTACTGTCGTCTACAAGATGATATCGATGAAGGTCAAATTACGAAGGTCGAAAATGAATATCGTGATCATACACCAATATGGTGGTATACGGCTGAAACATTTATATATCCAATGCTGAATCGTGGCCTTCGACAAATGGATGTTGACATCATCCTTAAAATGGGATTTTTCATCCGTCATTTACATCAGCATATTACACAATTACATTCTGAACAACAAGGAAACATGCCAACAAATTTTCAAGTCTTCCGTGGACAAGGTTTGTCCATGGAAGATTTTGAAAAAATGAAAAAAACCAAAGGAGGACTTATGTCCTTTAATAATTTCCTGTCGACAAGTCGCAATCGTGAGATATCTTTCAAAAACTTTGCACGGCCAGCAGCATTAAATACAAACTCAGTTGGCATCCTTTTCATTATGAATATTGACACGGCTATTTGCACAAAATCATCGACACCATTTGCTGCAGTAAGCAAAGTTGGCTACTACAAAGATAAGGAGGAAGAAATACTATTTTCAACACATGCGATTTTTCGTATCGATCGCATTGAACAAATTCACGACAATCACTGCGATCGGCTATACGAAGTTAATCTCACTATTGTCGGTAATGACAATCATGAATTGAACACACTTACAGCACATCTGCGAGAAGAGTCCACTTGGGCAACAGGATGGGCTCGATTTGGTGACATACTTATTCAACTTGGTGAGCCTGCAAAAGCAGAACAACTCTATCAGATCCTCATTGAAAAGGCACCTTCTGATAAACATAGAGCAGATTACAATCATCAACTTGGTTGGATTTCTAGACACCTAGGCGAGTATTCAAAAGCACTTTTATATTATGAAAAATCACTGGATATCAACAAGAAAATTCTCTCTCCAAATGATCTCAGTTTGGCTTCTTCCTACAACAACATCGGGAATGTGTATAACAACATGGGCGACTACTCGAAAGCACTTTCATCGCATGAACGATCACTTGAAATCCGTAAAATAGCTCTCCCTCCGAATCATCCCGACTTGGCTTCTTCCTACCTCAACATCGGTTCTGTGTATTATAGCATGGGCGAGTACTCAAAAGCACTTTCATCGTATGAACGATCACTTGAAATCCGTAAAATAGCTCTCCCTCCGAATCATCCCGACTTGGCTGCTTCCTACATGGGCATCGGTAATCTGTATAAAGACATGGGCGAGTACTCGAAAGCACTTTCATCGTATGAACGATCACTTGAAATCAAGAAAATAGCTCTCCCTCCGAATCATCCCGACTTGGCTGCTTCCTACAACAACATCGGCATGGTGTATAATAGCATGGGCGAGTACTCGAAAGCACTTTCATCGTATGAACGATCACTTGAAATCAAGAAAATAGCGCTTCCACCAAATCATCCCAACTTGGCTTCTTCCTATGGCAACATCGGTTTTCTGTATGAGCATATGGGACAGTACTCGAAAGCACTTCCATTTCTCGAACGAACACGCGATATCTTCAAAAAAGCTCTCCCTCCCACACATCCGAATGTCGCGAAATCTGAAAGAGATGTTGAAAATGTAAAAAAGAAAATGTAATTGTTTTTTTTCTAAAGAAGAAAATAAATTGGCCATCTTGAACCGAAAGCTCGCCGAAGCAAGCAGATGCAACATTTCACGCACGCGCGACCAGAGATACCCTCCGTATTCTGCTGGCTCGTACAG